GATTTTTCACATTCATTAAAGAGTTCAGGAGTTCAGGAGCCAAATTGCTGGTGAAGAACTACATTACCCATGTTCTTAGAGAGAGATCCACCAATCAGATGCATTGCTTTTATCACATAAATCATGACAAAAGAACTCATTAAAACAAAGGACAATGAGTCAGTCACTTTACCTACACTCTCTAATCACTCTCAAACGTGCTTTACACTACTGTTCAAGTTTGGGGTCAGTAAGATTAAAAATTTTTTTTTTTAAAGAAACATACTTTTATTAACCCTCTACCGCACGCATTATGATAGACCTATAGAAAAAAATATTTGAATCTTTTTCTTTTCTAAGAATGGCTTAACTTGAAGTGCTGTAAAAAAAAATTGGGAAAAAAACATTATTTTAAGGTACTTTATGATATGTTGCCATACGGCAACAGCACAGAAATACATTACAGTTTAACAGATATTCACATAGAAAACAGCTGTTTTAAACTGAAATAATATTTCTCAATATTACTGTATTGTAGGTGTGGGTAATGTATGCAAAAAATTCATGATATGCTTACTTATGGTTGATAATGATAAAGCACAATATGCACACGTGGAATTATAAAAAAAAAAAAAAAAAAAATCGAATAATTCTTCCTCTTCGTGGAGGATTGATATTTCTATGTTATTGTTCTGAGGAATGGCCAAACACACGAGCGGAGTTAATAATTACTCTGTGGTTGTGTTGTTGAAGCTGTGAGGATCTGCTGCTGCTGCGTTATGTCACGAGTAATAACATGCAAATATTTCTAATTCTTTATCGCTTTCTGCTTCTAATTAATGAAAGCATTTTTTTAATTGATCTTGCCCTAGCAACCACCCACAACACCCTAGCAACTGCATTAAACGCACTGAAACCCCTCAACACTGACACACAGCACTAACAGCAAACGGTGTAGTTTGTCATTGATTTGTCGTGTGTGTGTTCATAGAGCGAGCCGTTAGTTTGTCAAGAGCTCAATGAAACACATCTTCCCATTCCTGAACAAAACATTCATGCTGTCTGTGTTTGATTATTAATGCCTTCTCACGTCAGAGTAACCGATAAGAGCTTTAATAATCCTTACGAATATATGTCAGTCAGCACATGAGGTTGAAACATGAGCGTCTAATGATAACAACAGAGCGTTTTCACTGGTTTTGTGTCGGCAAGCATCTCCTCGAGGGCTCTTGGGGTCGTTTGAGCAGCACACGTGTGTGAACCCGGCCTTTTGGCTCAGAGGTCAGAGGTCACTGAAGTCTGTTGTTGCGGCACACAAGCTGTTGTCCTGACGGATTCCAGAAAGAAAAGACTAGCAGTGAGGGGAAATATATATAGACTGCAGGAATAAAAGAAGTGCAAGGTCTGTGCTCCTCTCTGATTTCATTATGATAGAAAACATCACTAGTAGAGCTGATATATCACTATATATGAAAAACAACAATAAATCCATGATATCCATAACAAACTTTCTAAATAGGAGCTACTGGATATTAAAGCCTACATCTAGCTGATCTCCACAGCTGCTCTGAGAGTCACTTCACCAGTTATCATTTGATGAAATCAGTTTTATTTTTATGTTTCTGGATGAAGTACAAATGTATTATTGGTGATAATCAAATGAGAGCATTAAAACAATGTAATTGATCTTTTAAAATGTAATCAGATTAGTTTTGAATATATTTCTTGGCAAGCAAAGTCCTGAAATCACAGGGCCCTAATAAATCTATAAACACAGAATTTGGGAAAGAAACTGCTTTACTGGTTGTATTGCATTGCAAAAAAAATAGCTGTAGAAATAAACTGTAATATATTCTGTCAAGTAATTCTTGCCTTCACTCACTCGTTTAATCTGCGAGGAACATCCCACTCGTGAACTCAGTCAGTTATGTGAATGAAAACAGTTGAGAAAGAAATCATATGTGTATCATTATATTAGACTGGTGCATCGGGTCTTAAAGGGACAGCGGCCTGTAAATACCTGCTGCTGTCTGTCAGTAATGTTAATCAAACAACAAAACTCAGCTTTAACAGATTATTCTATATTTCATTTATACAGTGAACACTGTGCAGTGTTATTTTACACTTATTACATTTCTGTACCGAATACTAATGCAATAGTTGACCTTATTTTATTATATTTATGTTTGCTTGTAATTTGTGCATTTGTTATTTGTTGTACTGACTGTTCATGTGTGTTTTTACCATAAACTTGTATGTATTTGACAGTTTAAGTGCAATAAGACGTGAAAGAGAACTTAGTTTAGTACTCGCAGGCCGTGTGACAGCCGCTTTCTGTGCTTTGGATGCGCTCAGAAAAGCCTATATCAGATCTTTAAACTGATATGGCTTTAAAACGCATGATTTCAGCACGATAGACATGATAATCAGAATCAAACAGATGTTTTTAGCAGAGTATCTGAGATACCAGCTGTAATGGCGCAGCTCTATTCTGGAAAAGGGGGCGGGGAGCAGCAGCTCATTTGCATTTAAAGAGACATGCACTAAACAGCGTGTTTCTGCTTCCACTCAAAATAGGCATTTTCAAAATGATATAATAAACGATCTGTGGGGTATTTTGAGCTGAAACTTCACAGACACATTCTGGGGACACGTGAGACTTGGATTACGTCTTGTAAAAAGGGGCAGGATGGGTCTCCTTTAAGTAATAAATGGAAAGCAAAGTTACATTGATATAAAATGTTTTCTTTTCTTGCTGATCTGAAAAGTGATCTGATCCGTGACTCAAAAACCACAATATGATCTGAACCGCGAGTTTTGTGATCCATTGAACCGCTACTCGTCCAGATTGTCAAAGTGAGATGCTGTGGGCGTTTTGAATAGATCACTAGTTAACTGGCACTCCTGCGGTTAACCAGCGGCTTCTTGTCTGCTGCTTCACCACATCAATGCTTCCACCGTGATTATCAAACTCAATGCTTTATTCAGTGATGGCTACAAAAATCATGTGGAATCCATTCTAAGTGTCGTTTAAAAATGTTAATTTTTTGATCGCCAAAAATAAGGTCAGTCATTTCAGCATAGGCCTTTAGTTTAAAACAATCTGAGGCGCTTGTATTCAGTCAAGCATATAATCTATATTACATATTGGATTTTTAAGTAGCTAATATTTAAACTTGTGAAGTTAATTTGTTAATCGCGGTCCAGACAGGTGTACAGCATAGATACAGACACAATTACATTCTGTCAGATCACATTTGAAAATATGCAAATATAGTTGCACTAAAATTACCATGAGAAAGCGTTTGGATTTGTGCAGCACAAACAACTGACATGTTTATTCCCATCATGCTTGAAATGATTGCTGTTGAACTATTAGTAAAGCAGAGCTGCCCGTGTTTCTTGTGCTGTAATTTATGCACTAACATCTGGTCTGGTCACACTTTAGTTTGGGGACCAATTTTCACTAATAACTATTAACTACGATTTTTACTTTATGAAACTCCTAAGTTGCTGCTTATTAATAGTTAAGGTAGTAGTTAAGTTATGTATGGGGTGGATGAAGGGATCTAAAATATGCTCATGCAGAATATTACATTGATATGTGCTTTATAAGTATTAAAGGGGTCATATGATGCGATTTGAGTTTTCCTTTCTCTTTGGAGTGTTACAAGCTGATTGTGAATGGATAAGATCCCTAAAGTTGCAGAGACTAAAGTCTCAAACCCAAAGAGATATTCTTTATACACCAAATACACAAAATAATGTTCTTTTTAGCAACATCATATGACCCCTTTAATACTTAAACTGCAATTAAAACCAAAGCTGGAAATATAAAAATGAAAGCTTATATTAAATATTAACGAACACTGTAATGGTGTATATAATACACACAAATAGCACAAATATATCTTTGTGTGATTGGTTTGCTGTTTGAAGGCTAGTTTAAGAACAAAGAAACAGGAGCCATAGTTTCCCCTTTTGAGCATGATATGGTTATTATTCTGATAACGAATTGAACTGACTACAGCGCTGTCTAGGTTTTACTCATTTAGCACCAGTCCCGTTTAACTGTGAGTTTAGCTGCTTAGCTTCTGTTTTCAGCTCAGTTTAAGTAATCTGGCCTTATAAAAGCCAGTTCCTCTTCCTCTTCACACACACACACACACACTACACACTACTCTCACACACACTCACACTCACTCACTCACTCACTCACTCACTCTCACTCTCTCTCTCACACACACTCACTCTCTCTCTCACACACACTCACACTCAGAGCTGGATGTGGACACCAGCAGAGGGCAGCAGAGTGTCACTACCAATCACAGTAGTTAGCATTAGCTCTGGAGATTAATAGTACATTAAAGAATATGCTTTGTTGTTTAAAAGTAGTAGTAGTAGTAATAATAATAATAATAATAATATGTTGCTTTTATTCTTGTCAATAGCATATTTATCACTGTATAGTACCAAAAAATGCGCCTTAAAATGACAATATTGTTCATTTAAAATGTAACAGTGGATCCCTAAAGAGTCACTTTTAGGAAATGTTTGACTATATCTAACCAGGATACATTGTCCCGCGCAGATCTGAGACACTTTTATTAGTTTACGAGAGATAATATGTAAACTAGTAAAAGTGTCTCAGATCTCAGTATCATTACAAATGACAAGACGAAGATGTTAATTGTTAATATTTTACAACAATTAACATCTTCGTCTTGTTGTCATTTGTAATGACTAGTAAACATGGCTTTTCGTATTTAACATTTGGAACTGGTATAGAATGCAGTATAATTAGTGGTCACTACTGGGGTAGCTGTTTCCAAAAAGTGAAAACGTCTCTCCATACTTAGTTAACTTTTCGTTGTTTTGCACATTTTCTTCTCCTCCCCATTGCAAGCATCGATTCCCATGCGTTTGGGAGGGGGAACTCTCGCGGGATTTCGCATGCGTTTGTGAGGGGAAGTCTAGCGGGATTTGGCGTGAGGCGGCGCGCGCTGGTCTCAGAGCGATCACTGGCTGCGTGTCAGTGCAGTCGACTTACAGCGGGCTGTGAGGAGAACTGGCGCCACCCTTTTGTCCCTAAATACAACTCTTTTCATACGCTAAAACTTCTTAAAGTTTCTTTAAACTCGCGCTCGAGTACTTCTACTCGCATGGTTCTCGAGGAGGTCGGGTTAAACTAGTTATTTTCGCTCTGTTTTAAGTTAAAGGCTGGGCCTTTACTCGCGCTCCTGACGAGAGAAAAAAAGAAGCTGCTCTTTCTGCGATTAAAAGTCCATAAATGCTTTTTACCAAAATGGACCTGTTGAATTACCAGTACTTGGACAAGATGAACAACAACATTGGCATCCTGTGCTACGAAGGTAAAAAACAAACTCTTACTTTCTCGCTCTTGAATTAATGAAATGAAATAGTTGTCGGTGAAAATAACGGACGCCGGTGACGTCATCGCGCCTCTGCACTTTTCGCGATCTTTCCGCGAGCGCGGCGATCCTCTCGATTTGTTTACTTCTAACGTAGATGTTTACTTAAAATGACTAGTTTCAAAATAATGACCGAAGAAGTTCGGAGTTCGTGTTCAATCATGTTACAGCTCGAGAGAGAGAGAGAGAGAAAAGTGTTGTTGCTAACTTCTGTACAGTTTTTGTGTACTACTGGATGACATGCTAAACCCAGCGTTTAGCTGTAATTATGCATTCTGTTTCTAAGAGCTCATTAATGAGTGAATACACGGAATTTTCGTAATGTTTAAATAGACTAGTGAAGGCTAAAAGTGTGGTAAAAAATGGTAAACAATTGAAGAGTTCAGATGAAAAAACCTCCAAGTGCCAGATGAGTAACGTTATTTTTCTCGGGCTCCTATGTGTAGGTTCAGTATTAAAGTGAAATTACTGAACCTAAACATAGGAGCCTGAGAAAAATGCTCATCTTAGAAGAATATTTCAAATGGCACTTAGAGGCTTTTGCATCTGAACTCTAAAGTTACAGAACCAACGATAAACACTGATTCATTGAGTTTTTTTAATGTTAATATTTCTGCCTTTATATTCACTTGTATGTGAATTAAAAGTTGTAAAGTGCAGAACGAGTGTCAGAAATAGTTTTAGGAATATTACATTCAGGAAAGATAATTTTAATCATATTAAATATACTTCAGTGGTAGTATTATTTGAAGCAGCTGCAGCCCATGCTTTCAGAAGTGTGCATGAGAAATGTGTGTTTATGTGTAGCATTTACTGCCCTTCTCTCTGTTGTGCCTGACCTTATGAAGCCTCAGTATTGTGCTTCATTGTGTTTGGCTGCGGTTTGGTGTTATCTCGAGCGTCATGTGCTGTGGAAGAGCTCTGGATTGAGTAGAAAGCAGGTAAATTGTTCTGCATCAAGTCACATGTCAAGAGAGCAGAAATGCGATACAGGCCTCCTGTAGACCCGGCCGTGATATATGAAGTGATGATTTGTTGTGATTTACTAAATGACATTTACTCTATGACTGCGATTATAGTTTGTTCTGTAAAAAGATGCAGGTTGTCAAATTGCTGAACGTCTCGATCTGTTTTTGGTCTTTCAGAGTGATTAACATCAGCCTCCACTGCAGTTTTAGTTTTAGGCCCAACTTGTGTTGTGTTGTTTTTTTTGTGGTATTCTGATGTTTGCTTCATAACCTGTGATGACGATACTCCCTCTGTTTATGCCTGTGAGTGACGCCGAAGGCTGCGTCTTCCTTGGCCAGTGACTCCTCTGTGTTTCCAGATAACTCTTCAAAACAGTGTGTGGAGAAACTCCAGCAGCCGTGCATGTGTGTGTGACTGGCGTGTCTCTCCTCGAGCGGATGTCGGGCTGCTTTGACCCGCTGGAACGCTCTCCATCAGCCGGTCATGTGACCCGGTGACAGTGGATGGAAATACACAATCACAGCCGGGTTTTGCTCGCTGTTGCACGGCTGCCACTTCAGCTATTTATAATGCGTGCCAGAGAATTTCCTGAGCACATGGCTAATCTATTACAGCTTCTGCGAGCCGAGCATCATTCCTTAAAATAGCTCTGTTTCTGCATCACTTCTTCGGGTCAGAACGTGCACGGCGCGGTTCTCCGGTGAAAGACCTCGCTCGCTCTACTGAACTTTACTTTACGCTTTATCAGGAACGGAATGAACGCCGCCTTTCAAAGGTCGCAGACAAGCTTTCTTATCTTTATGTTCATTGTTCTTCACACCAAAGATGATTTTGAGGACTCTTTTACCATGGGCTGAGAAGACTATAAAACTGAAAGTTGATAGAATGCTGTCTTGTGGGAATTGGATGAATTTTAGAAGTTTATTGTACACCATGTTGACTTGAAAATGTGAAAACAGAAATGTTTATCCACTGACACTAGGGGAAATAAGCACTTCTTATAATAGTGCAATATTACCAGTAATCTCAATAGTAGACCTCGCCTGAAGAATATTTCTACCATGTCATTGACTGACTATCATTTGGGTTTCGTGGCGTGATTGCAGGTATATCAGGCGTGTTCAGGAGGAAAGCGTGGCCTGCTCCGCTCTTCTGCTCACCAGCTGAGCTCAAATTGAAGCAGGCCTGAAGCACTGACTGTCATCTTTCCTGCTGAACAAAGGCTAAAAACAGCTGCTGGCAGCAGAAAGATAAGACCCCCGCTGAAGCCATACCTGTGCAGCTCAGTCGCCTCTCTGCTTGAAGAGAGACAGAGTTCCCTCTCTGTGTGCATGAGGGACATGCTGTCTGCTGCTCACAGAAGATCAGATTTCAGACACTAAAGCAAAGAGGCCATTGTTCTGCAAGTATGAAATTAGGGGTTTGTTTCTTTTACTGCATGTTTGCCAAGAAGTTGCAAAAGTGTCATTTGCATCAGAGGTTGTGTGTTATTTTGATGTTCTGTGAATGTAGGTGGGCTCACATCTGTAACTCAATCCCGTTCTAGCTTGACGTTTGAAGTCTCCAGTAGTAGGGGCAGACTTTGATCACTTACGCTCATAATGACACTCTTTCAATAGATCAAACATTGGCTAGATCTCTTCTAACGCTGATAGTCATCTTTTATGACTCCTGCAGTTCCCAACAAAGGTTGCTGTGAGGTTGTAACACGCTTTAAACGTCCAAGAAAACACAGACTCGCTGAAGTGTGAAATTCAACAAGTAGGCTGAAGGAAGCGCCGTTCTCCAGTTGATGTCTTTTCTTCAGGTGTTCATATGTGAATGGTGTGTGTGTGTCAAGCAGAAGTTCTGCTGAGAGAAAGTCATGGCAGAGATACGTTTTCCCTGAGGAAGATGGGTAAGTTAGTGTTTCATAAACTAACTTTGATTTCAGTCCCCTTTGAGTTGAACACTTCTCGCAATCTAACTTTAGAGCAAAACCATTAACGTGAGTGTCCTCTGAGACGTCTGGAGTCAGGAATGTCTAGCTACATTCACTCTGGTCTTTGGTTCTTCCGTGTGAACACAAACTGAAGCCGAAGTGCTGCAAAAATGAACATTTCTGCGATTGATCACAATAAGTATGTGTAACTGGTGATAGTTATTGTGTGGCTATTTGGCCAGGAGAAGGAGAAAATTTGTTTACGTGTGAAGACAAAATGAACTAAGTTTAGCTGTGCTGTGATGCAGTTATTTACAGGAGGACAGTGCAGTCTGAGTATCTGTAGTACATGATCTCACAGACCTGCCTGTGTGTGTGAATGAAATGCTGAACATGGGAAAACCGTGGCAGTATGAATGAACAAAAGCATGCAGCTCTCCCAGAAATTTTCTAATATATCTGTGTGAAGGGAGCTTCTGTGCTTTTTAAAAAAAATAACTACAAGCCTTTTCCCTGATTTGATTTTCGACCAGTCAGATACAGAAACACTAGCTGCTTACTACATGAATCTATTTGACATTTGTAATGATTGAGAGATTGCATACAGTCTTTGCATTTCACCAAATCACAAGCATTATGTGTATGCCATTCTTAGGTGATAAATTTGGCATCAGATTATTATTATTAAAAAACTAATAATAAATTATTTTATCTAGCCAGGAGACATAAAATTTATCAAAAGTCAAAGTAGAAACACTGATAATGTTGCAAAAGATTTCTATTTCAAATAAATGTTGTTCTTTTAAACTTTCTATTTACAAAATATCACAGTTTCCACAAAAATATTCAGCAGCACAGCTGTTTTCAACATTGATAATAATCAGAAATGTTTCTTGAGCAGCAAAGCAGCATATTAGAATGATTTCTGAAGATCATGTGACACTGAAGACTGGAGTAATGATGCTGAAAATACAGCTGCGCATCACAGAAATAAATTACAGTTTAACATAGTTTTGGTCAGCATTAAGGCCTTATGCATCTGGCAATGCTGCCATGCAAAGGCAAAATAGATTGATTTGGCTCAAAAGTGATCAGATTTAGTGTGGAAATGTCCTATAATACTGTAAAGCTGCTTTGACACAATCTGTATTGTTAAAAGCGCTATATTAATAAAGGTGACTTTATTTTACTCTGTTTGAAGCCATTTTCAGTATTAATGACGTTACAACATTTTCACTTTATAGTGCAGAACAGACACTCCCACCTTTGTAACTAGTAACTGCAGACACATCAGTGCGTTGAATGACAGTTGATAAATGTAACTCAAGCACTATTTGAACAGTAATTGTTTCTCAGGTTTCAAAGCCATTTTTGGATTACTGTTCTTGTATACTCTTTTCTCCTCATTGATGTAGGTTCAATTGGATGGCAGTGAAGTCATCAGCTTTCACCTGTAAATACTGAAGACCTCCTCTGATCACATCATCAGGGCTCGACAATAAGGACTGCCCGATGGCCCGGGGCCGGCGTGAAAGACGTTCTGGACAGTAGACGGATTTGTCACTTGCCCAATCGGGCCACTGCAGCGTCGTCGTAGGCTAGTCTAGTATGCAGAGTTTTGGTTCATGCATTTTTGTGGTGCATGCGCGAAAGGAAACCAAGACGGCAGAAAGCAGCATCTAGGGCTGCACGATTAATCGAATGCGATTGTCATGCACATCTTGTCAGTAAAGCCGGTTCTGTGATTAGTAGTAAATCTCCATCACCTGCTTTCAGATGGAGCAGCATTTACTACACAGAGCCGTAGTTCTCTGACAAGCTACGCAAAAAAATTGCAGACGATATAATCGTACGATTATAAAATCGTTCACAATAATGACAGCTGTTTGTGTAGCTTCTCAGTGAACTACGGCTCTGTGTAGTAAATGCTG